GAAGAGGTTCAAGTCTACGACAAGTTGGCACAGACATTGCTGACCTTCTTCGGCGTCACTGAGGAGACAAAGAAGGCTTAACACTGGAGATACGTCTCGTTTATACTACCTCATACACTCTGTAATCAACGGAAACGGTTATATATGCAGAAATGTACGACTTGCATACACTGTACCGCAATGTCTGGCCAATGAAGAGTTGGAGCTTCTACGGCCTTGAAGTTTCAGCAGAGGTGTCTGGAAACTGATGGAGTCTACACTACAACACCATTCCTTACGCTCTACACCTCCTTTTACCTTGTTTTAGTTCCTCATAACCATATGGCTTGGTCCGCATCACCGTTTCCTTCTCCCCATTAGGTTGCGCGAGTTTAGCTCTTTAATCATCACAAGTTGATGCCAGCTTCATGCGATAAAACGGCGTAGCTTAAGCACACAGTCGAGTCAGTATCCATTGCATACTATGGACGTCAATTGAGATCATTTGGCTGTAAATGACTAAACAGAAGCCCTCGGCCTCTATAACAAAGTAAGGCATCGGAGCGTAATCTCCACAACTATGGCTTTCCCGCAATCTGGCATAGCATGGTATTTGTTTAGGAGCTTATAAAGGAAACAATGGGCTCTGAATCTGTACCTCAAGGTGTGACTGTTGTATTAAGAAAGCATGGCTGGAAAGACCAAGTCTGTAGCCATCATTGGTGGTGGAGCATCCGGGGCTGTCGTGCTGGACACTTTGGTCAAAGAAGAGGCATTTGAGGAGATTGTTCTCTATGAGAGAAGAGACGTTCTAGGAGGAGTGTGGGTGCTTGATGAGAAGCCAGACGAGCTCGACGTTCCACCAGGCGTTGGTCAGGAGGTGCTGGACCCTCCATTGGCGATACCAGAGTTCCAAGAGCAGCTTAGAGCACCAAGATCAACTCAGCAGAGATACGTTCATACTCCTTGTTACAAGGATCTCAGAACAAATACTCCAGAGCTGACCATGACGTACAGCGATAGGGCATTTTGGGATACTAAGGACGGGGAAAGGATCGAAGAGAAGTACGTCCGTGCTCCTGCTGTTCAGAGGTATATAGAGGC